AAAGTGTTCATTCTGCCGTCAGCTGACAGTCTGCTTTCACCGCGTTGTTGACCTTGTTTTTATTTGTTTGCTGTCGTTGCAGTTTGGAGCAGAGACGCAGCAAAGCAAAGTGGCTCCCAGCTCTGCAGCCACCAGACCGATCCAGTCCAGCAGAGAGCAGGTAAAACCCCGCACACCTGTGGGAGGGAAACAGCTGAGCGAGAGGACGAGGACAGCCTGATAGACGAAGAACAAGCTGCTCTCGTTTCAAGTCTGTGGATGATCTGTGGGCTCGTTTCCCTGGAGTGTGCTATATTCATATACATGTTTTTGTTTCTGGTGTAAAAATGTTGATATTCTTAAATTTTTCCAAGAAGATGAGCTGATTAGTTTAAGGCAGTCGTCGTTCGCTGAGATATGAGTTAGTAAAAGTTCAGTTAGCTCAGTTTTTATGGGAACTTTTTATAACCAGGTTTGGAGGTTTGAAACTGACTGTCAGATTTCAGTAAATAGTCTGGTCCCAGCTGGACTGAAAACTTCCTGGAAAAAACAGAACTTTTCATGTCCTCTGATCATCTGTGTGTGTTTTCCAGGGAGGGAAGAGCGAGATATTTGTGGACGTGATTGAGAGGATGACGGTCGTCCTCGGCTCCAACGTGAGTAACGTCAGCGCGAGAAGAACAGTCGAAAAGCTTAAAAAGTTTCAGACTCGCAACAAATAAGAGTGAATAATCTGAGGAATGTGTTGGTGTCAAAAAACATTTAATTACAAAAGATTTCTGAAATGAATCAAACAAAACAGAGAACTTTGTGCAGAGCTGTTGGGTGTGGTGAACTTTGGTTTGTGCTGCAGGGAGTTCTGATGAAGGCAGACGTGGAGGGCGAGATCAGAGTGAAGTGCTACATGCCGAGCTGCTCAGGTGAGACAGCGAGCCGCCACACAGGTGGTGTCTGTGGTTCAATCAGCTGGTCCCGTCCACTCACACATCTGACACTTGATGTGTCTGAAACTGTGGACCAAGGATCAGCAGTGCTAAAGAAAAGATGAAGCATCGTATGTTCTCCAGTGAGTTGGAGGATTTAAAGTCACTTCCTGACGACTGATTTTACTCGTTTAAACAAGAGGAAACAAATCAGATCAGTCTGCAGTTTTGCTGAGATGTGAAGTCGTACCAGCAACTTCCCATCAAACAGAGAAACGCACAATGAAACACACAGCTGTCATTACGGTTGATGATGTCATAGGTGGCGCACGCAGCAGCCAGTCCAATGAGAAAAGGCGAGCCTTTAAAAGGCTGCGTCTCGTTTATTCTGAGTGGTGTTGATGCACGTTTTGTTGTTGTTGTGTTTATTATTATTATAATGTGAACAAACGCCTCATAATGAGCCAATAAAGACAAACCTTGAACTTTGAGCACAGGTCAGGTTTCCTCAGTCGCAGCTAATCTTCACACTCAGCAACAGTAAAGACATCACAGCATGACAGCAACAACACTGCTAACTTAACCTGAGCGTGAACAGTCCAGCTTCATGTTCTCGTCCAGCAGAACAGCAAGCCAGTCAGGAACCATCTGCTTCATGAATGCTGCTGTTCGATCCCTACACTCAACCTACGATTCAGAAGTTCGACTCTCCCCCCCCAATATCCTCTAAAGAGAAGTTTTAGTTTTTTTTCTTGTGTAGCTCTCCTCTGATCTGAATTAAACTAATCCAGCAGCAGCGAGTGAACCAGTACAACAAAAATGTGCATTACAATATAAAAATAAACTTCTTATACGTTAATACCTGTGATTTGTTTCTTTGTCTCTAACATCTGAAGCGATGTCATCCTCTCGTCTCAGTCTGGTGTGTCTGTGCTGTCTCTTTAACAGAGATGCGAATCGGACTGAACGAAGAGTTCAGCATCGGCAAGTCTCAGCTCAGAGGTAAAGACGCACAATCACATCGCAGACTTTATGTTGTCATCACAGAGTAAATGCAGCACGTATGAAGTCCACGATCTGTGTTCAGTAGTGAGTGAAGAGGCAGAAGAAAGGCTCTGTAGCCTGGCCTGCAGATAAAACTATTCTAACCTGCGAAGAAGAAGAAAAA